GTCGCCGATAAGATCCGCTTCGTCGGCGCCGTGAGGGACCTTCTGGCCTGGATGGACGGAGTCCTCTGCCAGATGGGCGCCGGAGAGAAGCCCAGGTAGAGGGAGCTGTGGGCTGCGCCGAGGTCCCGTGTCCTGCGATGGCCCCAAGAACCACGTCCTGGCCCATCTGTGGGGCCAAGGACCCACGTCCTGGCCCATCCCAAGGTCCCGTGTCCTGGCCCATCTGGAGGACCTCTGTTTCGCCCATCCATGGCACCAAGAACCCGTGTCTTGGCCCATCTGTGGCACCAAGAACCTGTGTCTTGGCCCATCCATCACGCCAAGGACCCACGTCCTGGCCCATCCCAAGGTCCCGTGTCCTGACCCATCTGGAGGACCTCTGTTTGGCCCATCCATGGCACCAAGAACCCGTGTCTTGGCCCATCTGTGGCACCAAGAACTTGTGTCTTGGCCCATCTGGAGGACCCATGTTCTGTCCCATCTCAAGGTCCATCCCAAGGTCCCGTGTCCTGTCCCATCAGGAGGACCTCTGTGTTGTTCCATCCATGGCACCAAGAACCCATGTCTTGGCCCATCCATGGTGATAAGAACCCATGTCCTGTCCCATCCCAAGGTCCCACATCCTGGTCCATCCTGAGGACCTCTGTGTTGTCCCATCTGTGGCATCAAGAACCAGTCTTGGCCCATCCATAGAGCCAAGAACCTGTCTTGGCCCATCCGTGGTGATAAGAACCCATGTCCTGTCCCATCCCGAGGTCCCATGTCCTGTCCCATCAGGAGGACCTCTGTGTTGTCCCATCCGTGGCACCAAGAACCCGTGTCTTGGCCCACCTGGAGCGCCCATGTCCTGGCCCATCCCAGGACCCGTCTCCTGTCCCACCCGTGGAGCCAAGAACCCGTGTCCTCTCCCATCCGGAGGACCCAGGTCCTCTCCCATCCGTGAAACCAAGGACCCACCTCCCGTCCCATCCCGTGGGGGGTGTCCCCATCCCCTCCCGCCCTCCCAGCCCCCCGTCCCCTCTCACAGGGACGTCTCCTCGGTGGAGCTGCTGATGAACGACCACCAAGGGCTCAAGAGCGAGATCGAAGCCCGCGGGAAGAGCATCGCCGCCTGCCTGGAGCTGGGCAAGACCCTCATCCTCAGCAAGAGCCCGGCGGCCGGTGGACAACCAGGGGAGGAGGGGGAGGGGGCTGCCACTGTTGGGAGGTCCTAAGCCATCTCCTCCGCCCCCGCAGATCAAAGTCCACGTGGAGAAGCTGCTGGCGAAGAAGAAGGAGATGATGGAGAAGTGGGACAAGCACTGGGAATGGCTGCAGCAGAGTGAGTCCCACCTTGGGGGGGTGGTGGTGGGGACATCCGATGATGGGACATCATCCCCATCATCTCCATCCCCTGTCAGATGGTTCACACAGAGGTTTCTGTTTTGTTTTGTTTTTACAAGGATCCAAGATGATAGGGGGAGGGAAAGAACTTTTGTCCTCTGCTTAAAATAATTCAAGAGCTTTCCACTGTCTACGCCAGGCTCAAGCAGACATTTGCATAACAAATGAGCTTCTCCCCGCTCTTCAGCCCCGGGTGACCCCGGTGGTTCCTCCTGCAGGAGGAGGCTCCATCTCCATCATCTCCATCTCCATCATCTCCATCTCCAGCGTCTCCATCTCCATCATCTCCATCTCCATCATCTCCTCCATCTCCATCATCCCCATCATCTCCATCCCCATCATCTCCATCCTCATCATCTCCATCATCCCCATCCTCATCATCTCCATCATCCCCACCCTCATCATCTCTATCTCTGTCCTCATCATCTCCACCCCCATCATCCCAATCCCCATCATCCCCATCATCTCCATCCCCATCATCCCCACCCTCATCATCTCCATCATCCCCATCCTCATCATCTCCATCATCCCCACCCTCATCATCTCTATCTCTGTCCTCATCATCTCCACCCCCATCATCCCAATCCCCATCATCCCCATCATCTCCATCCCCATCATCCCCACCCTCATCATCTCCATCATCCCCATCCTCATCATCTCCATCATCCCCACCCTCATCATCTCTATCTCTGTCCTCATCATCTCCACCCCCATCATCCCAATCCCCATCATCCCCATCATCTCCATCCCCATCATCCCCACCCTCATCATCTCCATCATCCCCATCCTCATCATCTCCATCATCCCCACCCTCATCATCTCTATCTCTGTCCTCATCATCTCCACCCCCATCATCCCAATCCCCATCATCCCCATCATCTCCATCCCCATCATCCCCACCCTCATCATCTCCATCATCCCCATCCTCATCATCTCCATCATCCCCACCCTCATCATCTCTATCTCTGTCCTCATCATCTCCACCCCCATCATCCCAATCCCCATCATCCCCATCATCTCCATCCCCATCATCCCCACCCTCATCATCTCCATCATCCCCATCCTCATCATCTCCATCATCCCCACCCTCATCATCTCTATCTCTGTCCTCATCATCTCCACCCCCATCATCCCAATCCCCATCATCCCCATCATCTCCATCCCCATCATCCCCACCCTCATCATCTCCATCATCCCCATCCTCATCATCTCCATCATCCCCACCCTCATCATCTCTATCTCTGTCCTCATCATCTCCACCCCCATCATCCCAATCCCCATCATCCCCATCATCTCCATCCCCATCATCCCCACCCTCATCATCTCCATCATCCCCATCCTCATCATCTCCATCATCCCCACCCTCATCATCTCTATCTCTGTCCTCATCATCTCCACCCCCATCATCCCAATCCCCATCATCCCCATCATCTCCATCCCCATCATCCCCACCCTCATCATCTCCATCATCCCCATCCTCATCATCTCCATCATCCCCACCCTCATCATCTCTATCTCTGTCCTCATCATCTCCACCCCCATCATCCCAATCCCCATCATCCCCATCATCTCCATCCCCATCATCCCCACCCTCATCATCTCCATCATCCCCATCCTCATCATCTCCATCATCCCCACCCTCATCATCTCTATCTCTGTCCTCATCATCTCCACCCCCATCATCCCAATCCCCATCATCCCCATCATCTCCATCCCCATCATCCCCACCCTCATCATCTCCATCATCCCCATCCTCATCATCTCCATCATCCCCACCCTCATCATCTCTATCTCTGTCCTCATCATCTCCACCCCCATCATCCCAATCCCCATCATCCCCATCATCTCCATCCCCATCATCCCCACCCTCATCATCTCCATCATCCCCATCCTCATCATCTCCATCATGGTGGGACACACCGGGAGGGGACGGGGGGACACCACCGGTGTCACCGTCGGGTGTCACGATGTGTCATCCCCACCCCGTCCCCGATAGCAAAGCCACGTTGGCGGACATCGTGGAGCAGCTGCAGGAGAAGGAGGCTGGGGGCACCTTGCCGGCGCCGGTGAGTCCATGGTGTCCCCTCGGTGTCCCCTCGGCTTCCCCTTGGCTTCCCCTTGGTGTCCCCTTGGTCTCCCCTTTCTTTCCTCTTGGTGTCCCCTTGGTGTCTCCTTAGCTTCTCCTTGGTGTCCCCTTGGTGTCCCCTTGGCTTCAACTTTGCATCCCCTTGGCTTCCCCTTGGAGTCCTCTTGGTGTCCCCTCGGTGTCCACTTGATGTCCCCTTTGTGCTCCCTTGGCTTCTCCTTGGTGTCCCCTTGGTGTCCCCTTGGTGTCCCCTTGTCTTCTCCTTGATGTCACCTTTGTGTCCCCTTGGTGTCCCCTTGACATCCCCTTGGTGTCCCCTTTTCTTCTCCTCGGTGACCCCTTGCCATCCCCTCAGTGTCTCCTTGGCTTCTCCTCAGTGTCCCCTTGGTGTCCACTTGATGTCCCCTTTGTGCTCCCTTGGCTTCTCCTTGGTGTCCCCTTGACATACCCTTGGTGTCCCCTTGACGTCCCCTTGATGTCCCCTTGTCTTCTCCTTGATGTCCCCTTTGGTGTCCCCTTGTCTTCCCCTTGGTGTCCCCTTGGTGTCCCCTTGACATCCCCTTGACGTCCCCTTGATGTCCCCTTGTCTTCTCCTTGATGTCCCCTTTGGTGTCCCCTTGTCTTCCCCTTGGTGTCCCCTTGGTGTCCCCTTGACATCCCCTTGACGTCCCCTTGATGTCCCCTTGTCTTCTCCTTGATGTCCCCTTTGGTGTCCCCTTGTCTTCCCCTTGGTGTCCCCTTGGTGTCCCCTTGACATCCCCTTGACGTCCCCTTGATGTCCCCTTGTCTTCTCCTTGATGTCCCCTTTGGTGTCCCCTTGTCTTCCCCTTGGTGTCCCCTTGGTGTCCCCTTGACATCCCCTTGACGTCCCCTTGATGTCCCCTTGTCTTCTCCTTGATGTCCCCTTTGGTGTCCCCTTGTCTTCCCCTTGGTGTCCCCTTGGTGTCCCCTTGACATCCCCTTGACGTCCCCTTGATGTCCCCTTGTCTTCTCCTTGATGTCCCCTTTGGTGTCCCCTTGTCTTCCCCTTGGTGTCCCCTTGGTGTCCCCTTGACATCCCCTTGACGTCCCCTTGATGTCCCCTTGTCTTCTCCTTGATGTCCCCTTTGGTGTCCCCTTGTCTTCCCCTTGGTGTCCCCTTGGTGTCCCCTTGACATCCCCTTGACGTCCCCTTGATGTCCCCTTGTCTTCTCCTTGATGTCCCCTTTGGTGTCCCCTTGTCTTCCCCTTGGTGTCCCCTTGGTGTCCCCTTGACATCCCCTTGACGTCCCCTTGATGTCCCCTTGTCTTCTCCTTGATGTCCCCTTTGGTGTCCCCTTGTCTTCCCCTTGGTGTCCCCTTGGTGTCCCCTTGACATCCCCTTGACGTCCCCTTGATGTCCCCTTGTCTTCTCCTTGATGTCCCCTTTGGTGTCCCCTTGTCTTCCCCTTGGTGTCCCCTTGGTGTCCCCTTGACATCCCCTTGACGTCCCCTTGATGTCCCCTTGTCTTCTCCTTGATGTCCCCTTTGGTGTCCCCTTGTCTTCCCCTTGGTGTCCCCTTGGTGTCCCCTTGACATCCCCTTGACGTCCCCTTGATGTCCCCTTGTCTTCTCCTTGATGTCCCCTTTGGTGTCCCCTTGTCTTCCCCTTGGTGTCCCCTTGGTGTCCCCTTGACATCCCCTTGACGTCCCCTTGATGTCCCCTTGTCTTCTCCTTGATGTCCCCTTTGGTGTCCCCTTGTCTTCCCCTTGGTGTCCCCTTGGTGTCCCCTTGACATCCCCTTGACGTCCCCTTGATGTCCCCTTGTCTTCTCCTTGATGTCCCCTTTGGTGTCCCCTTGTCTTCCCCTTGGTGTCCCCTTGGTGTCCCCTTGACATCCCCTTGACGTCCCCTTGATGTCCCCTTGTCTTCTCCTTGATGTCCCCTTTGGTGTCCCCTTGTCTTCCCCTTGGTGTCCCCTTGGTGTCCCCTTGACATCCCCTTGACGTCCCCTTGATGTCCCCTTGTCTTCTCCTTGATGTCCCCTTTGGTGTCCCCTTGTCTTCCCCTTGGTGTCCCCTTGGTGTCCCCTTGACATCCCCTTGACGTCCCCTTGATGTCCCCTTGTCTTCTCCTTGATGTCCCCTTTGGTGTCCTCAGCAGCACTTGGAGGTCCATCAGTGGAGAGGGTTCTCCAGCAATTGGAGGTCCATCAATGGAGAGGATCCATCAATGGGGAGGGTTTTCCAGGACTTGGAGGTCCACCAATGGAGAGGATCCATCAGTGGGGAGGGTTCTCCAGTACTTGGAGGTTGATCAATGGAGAGGGTTCTCCAGGGGTTGGAGGTCCTTCAGTGGGGAGGGTTCACCAAGGTTTGGAGGTCCATAAGTGGAGAGGGTTGTCCAGTGCTTGGAGGTCCATTAATGGAGAGGGTTCTCCAGCGCTTGCGTGGTCCCCACAACCCCAAACCACCAGCAACATTGGGTCACCCACTGGTGTCACCACCCCCCTCGTGTCCCCCTTCTTTGACCTTGACCAGATCCTGGGTGAACCTCTACTGCGTCCTGAGCAAGGGTGACCTGGGCTTCTACAAGGACGCCAAGGGCCAAGCGGCCGGCAGCACCCATGGTGGTGAACCCCTCCTCAACCTCCACCACTCCACCAGCGAGGTGGCCAGCGACTACAAGAAGAAGAAGAACGTCTTCAAACTCAAGTACGTTGGAGGGGTTCACGGGGTGGGGGTTGTCCATCAATGGAGAGGGTTCACCAAGGTTTGGAGTTCCATCAATGGAGAGGGTTCACCAGTGCTTGGACGTCCATCAATGGAGAGGGTTCACCAAGGTTTGGAGTTCCATCAATGGAGAGGGTTCACCAGTGCTTGGACGTCCATCAATGGAG